GGCTCCATGGGCCTCGAGGCAGCCACGGCGGTGGTGAGTTCTGAGGGCTCTACGTTCAGTGGGGTAGGACCCCGAGTCCTGGGGCAGGGGAAGCTTAATGCATTCGGCCCTGAGAGAAAGGGCGTGGAAGACACCATCACAGTTCTGAGATTTGGGGGTGGTTTCCAGGGTCCTGAGAGAATAGAATGAAAGGGTTAGGATTTGGACCCCGTGTCTGAGGGAAATGGGCTGGGCCTGGACCCCTGTGTCCGAGGGAGGAGGGCTGGGGGCTGGGGGCTGGGGGCTAAGCTCTGTGGACTGTGAAAGTGGCTGTTTCTGGCCTGAGTGCCCCCTGCTCTCTCGCTCAGGGCCTCAGTGACTTCTGCTCCAATCCAGACACCTATGTTCTGAACCTGACCCAGGAGGAGACTGGGCTCAGCTCAGGTGATTCCTATGGTCCCTGCTTTACTAGGCCTCCCTTTGCCCAGGCCTGCCTGGGATGGGTGATGGCCGTCAGCCTGTCCTAGGGAAGCTCAGCATCTGTCCAGGATGCTGTGAAGGCTGGATAAAGATGTTAGGATCAGGAGGAGAAGGGAGATCAGGAGGGGACAGGGGGTCAGGGGCATGGACCTGGGCTCAGGTAAGGACCTGGCTGCTGCAGTCCAGTCAGCTTAGTCTTCTGAGGGTCCCTGAGGTGGGGGTGGACCTTCGGCTTCCCCAAGGAGGGTTCTGGGGCCAGGCTCACCGCCTGCTCCCCTTGCCCCTCCCTTTAGACATCCTGAACTATTACTTCCTGTGCAACCAGGCCATCACCAACCCCTTCCAACAGGTGAGGGCTGAGGACAAGGGAAATGGGCATGGAGGAACCCTGAATGTGGACCCCCAAGGGAGGAGGGCAGGGCTGGGGACTGGATTCCTGAGTTTAAGGGGTGGAGCAGGGTGCTGGGGCCCAGGGTCCTGTGTCCCAAGAGTAGAGAGAGGGACAGGGGTATCACCCACAGGGTCCTCCTTCCTCCTGTCTTCCTGCAGAGGCTGACTCTGTCCCAGAGAGCTCTGGCCAATATCCACTCCCAGCTGCAGGGCCTGGAGCGAGAAGCAGTTCCCCAGTTCCCATCTGCACAGGTCTGCAGACCAAAGAGAAGGAGGGCAGGGTGGGAGGGGCCTGAGCAGCAGAAAGGACAGGTTGGATACATGGGGGGACCCAGAATGCAGAGCTGGGTAGGTCTCTTTGGGGATTGAAAGCATGAGTTGTGGGAGGAGCCTATGTGAAGGGTGTGGCCTGAACCGGCCTCTAGGGGCGGGTTCATGTGCTATGGGCGGAGCCTGTGGAGCTGGGCAGACGTCCTGATGAGTAGGTGGAATAACTACCTCCATTACCATGGTAGAAGCCTCTGCTGTCCTTGGAGGAGACCCTGAATGTGACAGAGGGAAACTTCCACCAGCTGGTGGCACTGCTACACTGCCGTGGCCTGCACAAGGTGACTCCGCCCCTCCCAGGCCCTCCTCCCCAGGGGAGGTCTCTCAGCCCTCATTCCTCTCCTTGCACACTTCCCACTGCCCCTGAGTGCAGCTCTCTACCCTTCTGCTGCTGGGATGTCCTCATCCATCCACCACAGTTTCCACTGCAGTAGACCTAGCCCCCACCCCAGAAGACACATCCTCCTTGGCCACCTTCTCCCACTCCTGACCTTCCCCTGAGCGGGGACGCCAAGCTCAGGGAACAGGCAAGGCCTTCCCAGGAGTGTGCCATGCAATTCTGGGAGATGCTTACATGAAACCAGGACGTGCTAGGCACCTGACACCTTCGCACCAAAAAACAGGCCCAGGGTGCTGAGTCCATGTGCAACATTGCTAAATAGCTGAGCTGAGACAGGCTGCAGGGTGGCCACTGAGCCCCTGCACTGCTCTCAGGGAGGTGGGAACAGGGCTGCAACATGCTTGCTCCTTTGTGAAGGGAGGGAGGAGGATGGTCAGAGCCACTGCCCTCCACTGATGTGCTATGTGACCCTGGGGCCCTGGTTCCTCACACACTAAAATCAGGGACAAGGGACATCAGGGATGAGGAGGAAGGAGGGTGGCTCTGGAGCCCATGTTTGCCCCTTCCAGGCTGTATGACTCTGGGCAAGTGGCTTGTCCCCTGTGGGTTTCCACTGTTTTCTATACTGCCAAAGGCAGCAGCATAATGAGTGTGGGCCCTGCTGGGCAGGGCTGTTTAATGTAAAGGGGAAAGGATGTCCTCGCACCTGACAGGTCCAGGCAGTGCTGCCCATGACCCTGACGGGCACGCCCACTGCAGGTGTACAAGGCAGGAGCTCAGGCACATGCTCTTGCTGACTGTCCTCACCTCTGCCTCCCTCTCCCAAGTCCTGCCACCCTGCTTCTGAACCCATCTGGACTCCAGCCACCATTCCATTCAGCTGCCACTGCCACCAGGTTCTGGTCTCCTCACCTCCTGCCCAGTGACCACGGGCACCTCCTTCCTGTCCCCTCTTGCCCACTCCATCTGTCCAACAGCAGCCAACAGCTGGCGATCCTTTCAACACACAATCCGATCAAGGCCTTCCTCCGCTTAAAGCCTCCCGTGATCCCCTCTGCACAAGGATTAAAAGCTGGGCTCCTTGCCCTGGCCTATGAGGGCCTTCGTGGCAGCCTTGGCCACAACTCTCTGGCCTCTGCCCACATCAGCCCAGCTGCCCATCATCTGCCTGGTTCACTCCTGGCCCCTCTGCAGGCCTGACCGCTCCCTTGTGGCCTCCACCCAGGACTGCTTAAACAGCTCACCACCGTCTAAGTGACCTTCTTTGTCCTGTTTCCTGGGGGTCCCCAATACTCGGAGGAGGGCTAGCCCAGAGCACTCAGTCTGCCCCTGCGGAGGAACCTGGGCTGTGCTGCTGGACGTTCAGGGCACGGTAGCTAGTGGGCGCTGTCACACCAGGTGTGATTCAGAGTGTCACTCCAGGTGTTCCCCAGGTGTTCTTCTAAGGTAGTGACTGCAGACCCAGGGGACATTTGACAATGTGAGGAGACGAGTCTGCCTGTACAATTGCAGGAAGGGAGTAGAAGTTGGGGACACTACTCAACATCCCACAGTGCACAGGACAGCCCCACGTTAGAGAACTATCTGGCCCAAAATGCCAACAGTGCCCAGGTTGAGCAATCCTAGGCACAGCTGATGTCCTGAGCTCTGGGTGGCAGGGAGGTAGCCACGCAGGGCCTGCCTGCTAAGGCAGGAGGGAAGGGCAGCTCTTGGGGTGCCAGTGGATATACTGGGCTGACTGGGTGCAGGGGTTCTGTGGGGAAATGGGATGGGGTGCAGGGCTCGTGCTTGGCCAAGGCTCAGGCTGGGAAGAGGCCTGTGAGCATGAAAGACCATCCTCTGCAGCCCTCTAACAGGGGAGGAAACAGTCACAGATCCTGGGTGATGTGCGCAGAGTACATGGCCAGGCAGACTGACCAGAAATGCAGGGTGCATGCGTGCCCAGTGTGCTCACGCTCACCTGGGCTCTCGTCCCAGGACTACGGTGTGGCGCTGCGCGGCCTGTGTGAAGACGCACTGGAGGGCCTGCTCTTCCTGCTGCTCTTCTCCCTCCTGTCTGCTGGGGCCCTGGCCACCACTCTCTGCAGCCTACCCCGAGCCTGGGCCCTCTTCCCACCCAGGTCAGCAGGGGAGAGAGGGCAGGGTCCTGGGGGAGGGGACAGGAGGCAGCACCCAGGGCCACTGCTGGGGAGGGTGTGGCCTCCTGATGGGTCCCCATCCTGCTTCTCTGCCACTCCCCACCTCATACCCCAGTGACGACTATGAGGACACTGATGACGACGACCCTTTTAACCCTCAGGTACAGACTCTAGCCTGAGGGAGGAGGCTGGGTCTGGTCTGCAAGGTCTGAGGGAGGAGGACTGGGACCTGGGCTCCTGGGTCTGAGGGAGGCGACCCTGGGGACCCACAGTACAAGCCAGGTTCCCACCTCCTGTCCTTTCCCCACCCGGCAGGAATCCAAGCGCTTTGTGCAGTGGCAGTCCTCTATCTGAACCCCTCCTCCCCGCTGGCCTGGAGCCTGCCTCCCCTCGACGGTGAGCTTCCCAATGCCAGGGGATCTGCAGCCTGGCCTTGGTGCTCCCCAAGGTGTCCACATGCTGGGTGGGCGTGCACCAGAGTGGCCTGTGGCCCTCAGCGCCTGGTCTCTGCCTCTCTGCAGCTCCTTCCCTGGCCGCAGGAGGAGACCCCATTAACCTGCCTGACTGGGCTCTGACCACTAACACTGATGGCCACGGACACCCTCCACAGGACTGTCTCCTGCTCTGGCCCCAGTGCCCCCATCTGTCCTCACCCCTGTGGTAGCTGAGGGGGCAGAGCAGGAGCCAGAGCTGGCAGGGGAGGAGGCAGGCAGACACCCAGGCCTCATCTCTGCTGCCAGTCCCATTCACAAAGGGACTGGAATGGGTGCAGGGACCACAGTCTTCCTGCCCCTCCCTACCCCAGGGAGCTCCAGGGCTCTGGTCTCAACTTGTGACACTAACTTGGAAAGGACTGATTTGAAATAAAAAGGAAGACTTTATTTTACAAGCAGCAGGGTCCTTATGTCTCCCGGTCCCAGATTCTGCTCGTCATTGGGCCGGGGAGGACCCTTCCCTGTGGCTGCCAGGTGGTGTTCCTGTCCAAGCTCAGCAGCGGTTCCACCTCTAAAAGCCATAACCATATCCTGACAGGAAAAGAGAACACAGCTAGAAGTAGATTAAGTGTACGTGTGTACACACAACGGAAGACCAACTCCAAGTCCATGTGCAAGCACAATTAACAGTGCCCAGCCAGCTTGCTCTGCATCCAGGCAAAACTTCCTACCCAGACAGACCAGGGTGGGGATCCTACATGTGTGAAGGGACAGAAGTATTTTGAGAGAAATCCGATTATTTTTATGTTGTATATCCAGGTGGTGGTGTTGGGAGAAAAACTTTAATCAAGATAACAGAAGCCCAGAAGGGAAAAGATACCCTATTTGACAAATCATAGTATGAAAACAAAATGCAGTCAAAAAACAAGTTTTTAATCTGGGAAACTCTGTGTGATACATACAGCAAAGAAATACATTATTCTCAACACATGAATATCATCTGCAAAAACTTCTATAGACAACAAAAAGCTCGATTTAAAAATTAGCAACTGAAGCAGGGCGCGGTGGAGCCTATAATCCCAGTGGCTCAGGAAGCTGAGGCAGGAGGATCAAAAGTTCAAAGCCAGCCTCAGCAAAAGTGAAGTGCTAAGCAGCTCAGTGAGACCCTGTCTCTAAATAAAATACAAAATAGAGCTGGGGATGTGGGTCAGCGGTTGAGTGCCTTGAGTTCAATCCCTGGTACCAAAAGAATAAAAAAGTTAAAACAAAATTAGTAACTGAGACGAACATTCATGAAACAGAACTCCCAACACCATAAACAGGAGACGTGAAGCAACCAGCAGCTCCACTACTAGGTATGAAATTAGAAACGGGTCCTGTCCTGGGCTGCCCAGGAGCTGCAGGAAGAGCACTCCAACACACAGTCCAGAGGTTAGAACCACATCCTTTGAAAAAACGTACCCACTGATACATGAGAAAATCAAAACTGTGTAGACCCCCCCCCCCCCCCCCCCGCGCAATCCTGCTTTGGGGAATCAATTTCCAGAAAAAGCAGCACGCTCACCTAAGGATGTGCATCAGCAGCTGCTGGGGGCGACACTACTTTGACCTGCACAGCAAGGCTCTCTGAAGAAAGCACTTCTGGGGCTTCAGGGGAAGCTGGTGTCGGACAACCACAGCAGAGGGCCCAAAGGCAAGGGGGGCCCAGGATCAAGGGCCTGGCTGGCCAGGACCTTCCTGTCTTGCTACTCACCCCCCGCAGGGACCTCAGTGGCCTCTTCAAGCAAAAGGGACACTCACCTCGGGTCTGACAGGTGCTCTGGGTTAGACCCGCACACAGGGAGCGGGAAAGGCGCTCAACGCACGGAGTCCGGCTCTCGGTGCGGGGACCGCAGGGGGGACGCGGGCGGAGGACGCACGACTCAGTAGGAGCTCTGCCACTTTCCCCATAAATCTGAATAACTATTCCGACGCAAGAAGTCCGGTAAAGTCGGGGTGGCATCTGCCGTGCTAATGCTAACGACAGGACGCGAAGCCTCTAAACGGGATGGCAGGCCGCCGCGGGGCGCCCTCGCCCGGGGGGTTGCCCGGCCGCCGGGGACCCAGCCCCGACGCCCGGCGGCCGACTCCCCCGGAGCGCCGTCCCGCGCCCCCTTCCGGGTGGAGGCTGCCCCCGCACCCTTCCCCCGAGCCCATCCCCGTCTCCCGGGCTCCCACGTCACTGTGCTGTGAAGAGTCTCACAGACCTCGTCACTCCGGTCTACTCAGGGAAAACAATGGCTACCACAGGCGGAGTCAAAAAAAAAAGGCTGCGTGCCAGAGTGACGGGCCGGGAAACTCGGCCGCGATTGTTCCCTCGGGGCCACCGTCCCCGCCCAGACTTCCGGCCTGCCGGTCCCAGCCCCCTCGTGCTTGCGTAGGCGGGAGGGCGGGCTCAAGCCCACTGGTGGTGGCCATTGGCTATTCAGGGAAGGGGGCGGGGCGAAGCCGCCGCATGACGTCAGGACGCCACGGTCAAGACGTCGAAGCCAAAGAAGACAGAAGCCAGCCGGGTGGCCGAGCGTTGTCGCGGCCGTAGTGCTACCGCCTTGGGCCGCTGCTGACGAGTCCCGGGAGCGAACGGTCCTGGTTGGTGTGGGGAGCGGTGGGAGGGCGGGGACGTTTTCCCTTTGGCTCTGCGCCCCGCGCCCCTGCGGCCTTCTTGGCCGTCGGGCCAACGGACGCCGCGCGAGCGTCGGCAGGGTGTGGCGGCGGCGGGCACTGCGCTTGCGCGCCGCGGGGGTGGGGACTCGCGGAGGCCCCGCGCGCGTGCGCGTCGAATGCGGCGGCCCCAGGCCCTTTGACGGCTGCCGGGCTGCGGGCGACGTTTCCCGGGCAAAGGCGGCGTCCTTCGCCCTCGCAGCTTGCGGGACCGCCGGGTGCCACCAGCATCATCGCCGGCCTCGCGTCTGCCCCGCACTGTAGCCCGTCTCCAGACCCCAGCCCTCACCCCGATCTACCTCCTCTCCAGTGTCCCACCTGCTTCCACGCAGGTTCTGGGTCTTATTTTAATGGCTTCGCCTTTGTAAGACTTTACTCAGCTCCAGGCTCCTGTTTCCGATCCTTCAACTTCTTGTAAGACTGGGTAGTAGTCAGTTAACCCCTCCAGGAGTTCAGGCTCCGTAGTCCTTGTTTCTTTGCTTTTCTCCCGGTATTTCCCACCCGACTCTTAACGATTTTCTTAATATGTTTGGGGCCTCTTTAGTGTTCTCAAAGCATGTCCAGATCCCAACCAAGGGGATCACCCCTTCCGGCCCACGCCTACTTCTGCTTCTAGAAACCTCCAGTGCTGGTCTCTTCTCTGCCCTCAGGGCGCCTTCAGAGATCAGCCTTTAGGTGCTTCCTGACAATCTGTTTCCTTACGTTGCGGTCCCCTATGGCATCCTTAGTCTCTGCACGCTTTTCAGGGGAACTTCCAGGAATCATCTTCTCCTTTAGAAATTTCCTCCATTCTCCTGTGTTCTCCCAGGTCCAGGTGCTCCCTCTTTGCAGTGCCCTGAAAGGCTTCCCTCTTTCCAACCTTCTGAGCCTTAGGGTCTCTCAAGCTTTGCTTGTTGGAGTATTCTCCTCCTCCTGTTTCCTCTCAGGACATGTATTCTCTGGAATTCTTTTCAGATCCCCTACCCTTGGCTGAGGTCCCCCATCCCTCCTTTGGGCTTCCCCCTGCCTGTCTCAGGGTTTCCCTCACATCCCCCTTTCCTAATGTGGACTTCAGCCCTTTTTCCTTGGGGGGAACTTCCTTGTTTTCCACCTGGAGCACTCCAGAGAGGCCAGAGCCTTCCGCTCATACTCTAGCTCCTCCATTCCATACCCAGAGTCCCCCTCACATTCTTTACCCCAGTGGTTCCTTCTTTCTCAGATTCCCCTTTTCTGCCTGATTTCTCACGGGGTTCACCTACTTTTCTTGCTCATTTTATGACATGTTTCTTGCTGTTTCTTGAATCTCCCGATTCATTCTTTCTCTCATAGATAGTGAAAAAGCAGTCTGGCTCCCGAGGTCCACCCCTTATACCCCGAGGTCCAGATGGCGGCCAACGTGGGTGATCAACGTAGCACGGATTGGTTAGTGGGGTAGAGGGACAGAGGCCAGCGGGGAGGGACAATGGAAGCAAGGCTCAGGGGTGTCTCCTTGGGTGGGATCTCATACAGCCTGAGGAAAGTGGTATAGCAGTTCCTGGGGTTGGGGTAGGGCACTTCTAGCCCCAAACACAAAGGGACACTACACTCTGGGTTGTAGTGTGGCAAGGCAAGTCTTCCCCTCTGCGCCTTCATTTCAGAGAACTGTTAATTCTTCCAAGTAACTGTAGGGAGGAGGCAGCCTCTGACACTTAGTACGCAGTCATTGACCTTCTGTTAATTGCTTGGTTTTTTTTTTTTTGTTTGTTTGTTTTCCAAAAAGCCTTATAACCTGCTGATCATGAGTAGTGTTAGACAGAATCCATCGATTCATAAAACACTGAGGCCTACTAGGTACAAGGCCTATGTTAAATTCTATGATACTGGCTACCCTTTTGTTTAAAAAGCTGTGTGCAAGACCCAGATTAGGCACCTTAAGCAGATGATTGCCTTTCATCCTTCACAGAGATCCCTGAAGCAAAAGCTGGTTATACTCATAGTGTAATTAGAAAATTTAGGGAGCTTAGGTATGGGATCCAGGGCCTGTTGTTTGCCCCCTGTCATCTTGTCCAGTTGTGTGCATTGGGAAAACAAACTGATTCAATGTCCTCTCTCTGTAGGTCCTCTCAATACAGCATGGTGGCTGGCGCCAACAGAGAGAATGGCATGGACACCCCCATGCATGAGAACCCAGAGTGGGAGAAGGCCCGCCAGGCCCTGGCTAGCATCAGCAAAGCAGGAGCTGCCGGCAGCTCCAAGGCCAGCAGCAATGGGCCTGTGGCCAGTGCACAAGTGAGAAGCCACATGCCTGGGAACCCTGTGGGGTTTGCCGTGGGAGGGCCTCTGCCTGGTTTCCACCTGTAGCACTTGGATGGGGTACCCTGAGGGGGCAAAACAGGTGTTTTTCTGTTATCCACATCAGCTGAGGGGGGAAAGGTCTATTTCCTTGAGGCAGCCAGAGCCTGATGTTGCCCTGAAGAGGGAAGTCATGCTCCTGGTTCAAAGGTGCCAAGTCTGAGAGCAGAGATAAGTTCTCTTTACAGAGATGGGCTTAGTTCCCTCCTTGGCATACACCCATCAGTAAAGAGGCCCGGCTTCCTGGGAGCCATGGTGCCTATGGGCTCCTGCTACCCAGTGCTCACGGCATGGTGCTCCTGTTTTGCAGTACGTGTCTCAGGCAGAAGCCTCGGCTTTGCAGCAACAGCAGTACTACCAGTGGTACCAGCAATACAACTATGCCTACCCCTACAGCTACTACTATCCCATGGTGAGTGCCCTCTGCAGGGCAGGGCACCTCGTTGTGGGCAAGGGGGGGTTGATAGAGTGGAGAGAACAGGCATGCTGCCCGAAACCCACTAGCTCACAGCCCATGAGGCAAGCCCTGTATGGCCCTCAAGGCCTGCAGGCTCCTGCGTGCCTGGTTCTGACCTCTCCCCTCTTCGAGTTCTGCTTATTGCTGTGAAACCTTGACACGAGCACACACCAAGTCCACCCATGCTTTGCTTTGCTGTAGCTCTCTCCTCTGTGCTTTTCCTGAGAAGGTCTCTGCTTGAGAAGTGTCCTCAGAGAGCTGCTCCCTGCCAGACCATTACCTAGAGCAGGGTTCGCACCTGGGTTCCTTTTCTTTACTCTGTTTTCCTTCGTGATACTACACAGAACATGCTTCATGTCTGCACCTATCGCTGTGCATGTGTCTAGCACAGGGTTTGTTATAAAGCATGGGTTTTTGCTTTTTATTTCTTTGTCACGGGATTTAGGATTGAGTTGGCAGTGGTGTTTGTTGAATGGAGCTTGTAAGAACTGTCATAAGTGGGACATGGGATCAAAAGAGGTTTAACTTTTCCTTTGTTTCTTTGACGTATGAGGAAGGATTTGGTGTGTTTGTATAGTGGATAGAACAAGGGTGAGAGATGAGTAGAGAGGCTTAGATTGTGCACAGTTCCCAGCAGACAGGCGGACAAGGACAGCTTGCCATTAACCCTTCCTCCTGTGCCTTTGGCAGAGCATGTACCAGAGCTACGGCTCCCCCTCTCAGTATGGGATGGCCAGCTCCTATGGCTCAGCCACGCCCCAGCAGCCATCGGCACCCCAGCACCAAGGGACTCTGAACCAGGTAACACCATGCCTGGCCAGCTGCCAGGCCGGCTAGAGGAGGGATGTCAGTTTTGAGGGGCCAGCAGTAAAGAGTCTTCTGCTATTTAGGCTGTTCACCATTTCTCTTTTTTTTTTTTTTTGCTGCCACTCAACTCCTGATCTAAGAAGGAGGAGAGCAAAGCATAATTTTGAAATTAGGGTGGGTGTAGGGCTTGGGCAAGGCCAGGGGCTGCAGCATTGGAAGAGGGTGGGAGCTATTTGTCATGTGGCGCCTGTCTTTCCTTTTTCCCAACATGCGTGCACACGCCTGCACACACAGATCTGCATTCTGGCTTTGCATTTAATGTGCAGCTTGGAGGGATGGTGCATGGGAGCCAGATAAACCTTGGTTTGACTCTGGCTCTCTCACCCCCGTATGATTTCTTAGAAGCCTTGTGACTGTCATGTCTCAGTCAGCTGTTTGAGGTAGGGAGGGTTCCTGGGAATACTGGTAGTCAAATGGGTCTTAGTTGTGCGAGGTCAGAGACCAGGAGAATGGGGGCTTCCAGTGGCTGTTAATGCTGGGGACTCGCTCTTCAGAGTAGGAACACTGACAGCTGCCAGCCAACAGCTGGGGCCCTAGACACTTGCTCAGGCTCTCCCTCTTCTCAGTCTCCCAGCCGCACCAAGGGTGGTTAGTCAGAGCACTCACCCCAGGAGTCACTGGGGATGCGGACTGAGCGCTGAGTTCAGCGAGGGCCCCAGAGTGCCCTCACCTTCAGTTCCTGCTTCCTTCTGCAGCCCCCAGTCCCTGGCATGGACGAAAGCATGGCTTATCAGGCCTCTCCACAGCAGCTGCCTGCAGCCCAGCCCCCTCAGCCCTCCAACCCCCCACATGGGGCCCATTCTCTGAGTAGTGGGCCTCAGCCTGGAACAGCTCCAGCCACACAGCACAGCCAGGCGGGGCCCCCTGCAGGCCAGGCCTATGGGCCACATACCTACAGTGAGCCTACTAAGCCCAAGAAGGGCCAGCAGCTATGGAACCGCATGAAGCGTAAGTTGGCAAAGCTGTGGGAAGTCTGAGGGTGGCGGGTAGGGACCCTCCTAGAGCTCTGAGCTCCTGGGTGTGAGATGCATAGGGTGCCCCTTGTCTGGGTGTCAGGGTGGTCCTGAGGCTGGGGGGAGCTGCTCCACAACTAGGTGTGTGTGCTTTTCCTGGGCCTTTCTCTGGAGTGTGACCTCTCCAGTTCCCGAATGCCTGGTTCCTTTTGCTGTTGACACTTCTGCATTCCGGGGGAGCCCCAGGAGTGTCTGGGAGGAAGGGCCTAACCCTAGTGTCTGCCACCTTCACAGCAGCCCCTGGGACTGGAGGTCTCAAGTTCAACATTCAGAAGCGGCCCTTTGCTGTCACCAGCCAAAGCTTTGGCTCCAGTACAGAGGGCCAGCACAGCAGCTTTGGGCCCCAGCCCAATCCGGAGAAGGCCCAGAACCACAGGTGACGGTCACCTCTTTCCCATGCCTGCCTCTGTGCTGTATGCAGTCTGTGCTCTGGCAAGCTCCCTCCCAGAGGCCGTTTGCTCCTCCAGAGCGGGGAAGCTTCATTCCTGGGGTTGCCCCAAGCACTAAGTGAGGCAGGGAAGGAATACTCCGGTTGTATCTGGCTCACTTGTCAGCTGAGTGGCCACATGAGGGTCTGCTTGGGTTTCGGGTCCTCCTGGCTGAGGGTCCTGGTCTGCCTTCCCCATAGCGGGCCTTCCACCCGTGGGAACCTATCTGGGAAGCCTGACGATTGGCCCCAGGACATGAAGGAGTATGTGGAGCGATGCTTCACTGCTTGCGAGTCCGAGGAGGACAAAGACCGGACAGAAAAGCTGCTCAAGGAGGTGCTGCAGGCCCGGTTGCAGGATGGCTCAGCCTACACCATTGACTGGAGCCGGGAGCCGCTGCCTGGGTCAGTCTGGGTGGGAGGGTGGTACTGCAGGGGCAGAGCTCCCAAGTACTGGGCTGGAGACCTGGGCCCAGGAGCCAGCAGCTCCAGAGAGAAATGAGCCAGAAAGCTGCAGCCCGGGGCATGAAGTCCTGGGTTGGAGGGTGTAGTGTGGTAGTGGCCAGGAGGCCAAGGTCGGGGTCCCAGGGTGGGGAGAGCTGTGGGCTGGGGTGACATGCACTGCTTGGTGGTTAAGAGCACAGCCTGGACACAAAGAACCTTGGGCTTGCTCCCTTTCCTGCACCACGGCATCCACATGGCCTGGGTAAGTGCCTTTCCTGTGAGGTGGTGCCCTGGGCTGGGGGAGCGGTCTGTGATCTGCTGGTTGGCTGCCAGGTTGGTGATGCCCTGCCCTGCTGTATCCTCAGGCTGACCAGGGAGCCTGTGCCTGAGAGCCCCAAGAAGAAGCGGTGGGAGGCCCCTAGCAGCCTTCACCCTCCCAGGGGGGCAGGATCAGTGACCAGGGGCGGGGGTGCCCAGTCCCAGCGAGGGACGCCAGGGGCCGGGGGTGCTGGCCGAGCCCGGGGCAGCAGCTTCGCCAAGTTCGGCAACCGTAATGTCTTCATGAAGGACAACAGCTCTTCCTCCAGCACGGACTCCCGCTCCCGCTCCTCCTCTAGGTCCCCCACCCGCCACTTCCGGAGAAGGTGCGCAGCCTTGGGTTGGAGGGTGGCTGGGAAGGACTGTTCGAGGCGTGACCCGCCTGCTTCCTTGTGCAGTGACTCCCACTCGGACTCTGACAGCTCCTACTCGGGCAATGAGTGTCACCCTGTGGGCCGCAGGAACCCACCCCCCAAGGGCCGGGGAGGTCGGGGGGCCCACATGGACCGGGGCCGAGGCAGGGCGCAGCGTGGGAAGAGGTAAGGCTTTGGGTGGGGCTATGTCCCAGGCCTGGGCTTCCAGGTGGCCAGGGGTGCCTGCCTCCTTCACCCACCTGGTCTCTTCCCAGGCATGATCTAGCTCCTAGCAAGCGTAGCCGCAAAAAGATGGCAGCGCTGGAGTGTGAGGACCCAGAGCGTGAGCTGAAGAAGCAGAAGCGGGCAGCCCGCTTTCAGCACGGGCACTCCCGCCGCCTGCGCCTTGAGCCCCTGGTGCTGCAGATGAGCAGCCTGGAGAGCAGCGGGGCTGACCCTGACTGGCAGGAGCTGCAGATCGTGGGCACCTGCCCTGACATCACCAAGCACTACCTGCGTCTCACCTGCGCCCCTGACCCTTCCACCGTGCGCCCTGTGGCAGTAAGTCCCCAGCAGGGCAGGTCTGCCCCATGAAGTGCTGGCACCAGGCCTGGGGGGCCAACCCCAGGAGGGTGGCAGAGGACATGGGCCGGGCTGTGTGGGTGTGGCCCAGGCCATGGGAAGACCTCCACCCTGCGGGTCGCCACACTCGCAGATTGTTGTCCAGGAGAACTCACGGCAGACCTGTGCCTGGGCCCCTGCTGTTGAGGACTCAGCCTTGCCAGAGGATTACTTGGCCTCCCTGAGCCGTGGCCCCCTCCCTGTGCGTCAGAGAGTACAGTCTGTCCCATGCATGTAGTGAAGCTGGGTGGCCACAGGAGAAGGCACTTAGGCCCTGTGTGTGCAGGAGCCAAGGGGTGGTCTGTTTTGGCGTGTGTACGTCTTTGCTCATTTGCGGTGCAGTGGAGTCACTAGCGTGGGTTTGATGTTCTGTCGCACAAGTGGAAGGGGGATGGCCTGGACATGTCTGCGCCATCCCTTCTTGAGTTTGGATTCGATTCCCTGCTAGGTTTTGAAAAAGTCCCTGTGCATGGTGAAGTCCCACTGGAAGGAGAAGCAGGATTACGCCTTTGCCTGTGAGCAGATGAAGTCCATCCGGCAGGACTTGACGGTGAGGTGGACACTGGCAGGGACCCTGTGTAGGCTGCCCTGCCGATTCTCCCTGCCCCCTGCAACTCCTGCTCTCCCCCTGGCCCAGGTGCAAGGCATCCGCACAGAGTTCACGGTGGAGGTATATGAGACCCATGCCCGCATTGCCTTGGAGAAGGTGGGTGATTGGTGAAGGCCTACCGCTTCCTCCCTAGCAGCTAGCTGTTTGCACCTGCCTGGGCCTTACCATGCTCCTCCATGCCCCTGCCCTCAGGGTGACCACGAAGAGTTTAACCAGTGCCAGACACAGCTCAAGTCGTTGTATGCTGAGAACTTGCCAGGCAACGTGGGCGAGTTTACTGCCTACAGGATCCTCTACTACATCTTCACCAAGAACTCTGGAGGTGGGAGCGCAGCCCCAGGTGGTAGGACACCGTGCGCAGGTGGTGCCCTGCCACCTGACATGTGTGTCTTCGGCCCAGACATCACCACAGAGCTGGCGTACCTCACACGGGAGCTGAAGGCAGACCCTTGTGTGGCCCACGCGTTGGCGTTGCGGGCAGCATGGGCCCTGGGCAACTACCACCGCTTCTTCCGGCTCTACTGCCATGCACCCTGCATGTCTGGCTACCTCGTGGACAAGTTTGCAGACCGGGAGCGCAGGGCTGCCCTCAAGGCAATGATCAAAACGTACGTGGCGCTGTGCTCTCCTACCCTCTGTACTGTGGCCTTGCCAGGCCAATGCCCTCCACTCGCCCCTGGCCTTCCACTCCCATCTGCTACTCATCTCCCCACCCTCCTGTACTCACCTCATTGCTTTCCTCCTCACACCGCAGTCCTTGGCCCTCTTCTGTCTCTTCTCCACCTCTTAACTCAATACTCCCAGCTCTCTTTCCCACTCTCTGTGTCTTTCTTTCTCTCCTGTTCATGTCACCATGGACCTGGTCATCCTCACTTCTCTCCGGGTTCTTGGCACCCCTTCCAGGGCCTCTGCCCACCCATTGTACTCCTTACTTGCTCCTGGCCTAGAGATGAACTGGGGTGGGGGGTGCTGGGGGCCTCTCTTCCACTGAGACAGGCCCTGCTTCTACTCAGCTTCTTTGGGAATGCCAGACGTGTTGGAGGATAGGTGTGGTGAGGGCCAGCCACACTGGGGTGCTGCCGAAAGGCCTCGGTTGGGCAGGTCTTGCTGACAGAGTGTGTGCCTTACTCTTTTGGCCTGGGGAAGCCATGTTTGACTCATGTGTAGACTCCCTGTTCTCAGTTGGAGTTGAGATGCCCCCAGGGGACATTGGGCACCATCAGGAGACATTTCTGATTGTCACACTAAGGAGGATGCTCCTGGCGTCTGGGGGACAGAGGCCAGGGGAGGATGCTCCGCATTTTGGTGTACAGGATACCCTGCAGGCATCCAGGCCCAGTGTCAGTCTTGCCTCAGGTTGAGGAGTCCTGGTCTGGCAGCCTGAACACCAGGCAAGGTAGTCTGGCCTTCCTCACGAAGGCAACAGGGTGGCAGCTAGGATGGCTCCGAGTAAGGGGCGCACCATCAGCTTGAAGTTCAGGAAACCCATTCTGGAATCTAGTTCCAGTCAAGCCTGCGTAAGGGAGAGGCTGAGCCACAATAGGGACTGCGGGCACCATGCCAGGGATGTGGTCACTAGCTGGGGAGGGAGTCAGGGGGCAGTGGGCTGCTCAGCCCCGTGTGGCCTGATGGGCCCCTTGGTGGGCAGCCCTTGAGCTGTACTGCTGCACACGGGGTGTGATTGGCAAGTGATTGTTTCCTTATTAATTTATAGATACTCAGCCATGGCCATGGCAGCATAACCAGGAATGGCCCTTGTAGGTGGGGCTCTGGCCTATGGTTGACCTTATTCTCTCAGCGCCTTCCCCCTGTGAAGTTGGCACAGCTCTTCCTGGCAGGCAGACCTCAGAGCCATGTCCCTGCAGGGACTGGGAGGTCAGCTCAGGTGGCAGATGAGCAGGCTGTCCTGTCCTAGGGCCACAGGAAGCAGGGCTTTGCAGGCAGACCCTTTTCCAATATGTAGTGCCTCTGGCTCACTTGGTGCTGCTTCCTGTGCCTGTCAGGCAGAGTGACAGTCTGTAGAGCTCACAGGCAGCTCTGGACAGCTGTTTCCTGGCACTGTAACACATGTACAATGAGTAGTGTAGCATAATTGGAACCAAAAGTCATTATGTTAGGGGTCTGTGGATGAGTGTTGGCCAAGCACCTGTGCCCAGCTTCCGGGGGCACTCTGACCCATAGGGCAGCAGCAAGGGCTCCCCAGGTAGCACTGTTGGCCCTCCCATGCCCACGCACTACTCCCTGTCTGGCTCTTGCCCCTCAGCCAGTGGAGGAGCCAGCTGGGCCCTTCCCCTCCTGTCCCCTCTCCTTCCTGGACAGGTAAGTGAGGGCAAGGGGGGGGCACACTGGGGACTGGGGTCACCAGCCTCACCCCAGGTTCCCCCAAGCCCCAGTGGGGGGGAGGCTGGGAGGTGCAGGGGGAGCCAGCAGGGATTGTGCCGAGGAACAACACTCTGGGTGCCCGGCTGGGGGCACCCGCTCCCTGCCTGTGGGGCCCTCCCTGCCCACTCGCCCGCGGCCTCATCACTCTCTCCTCTTGTCTCGTAGCTTCCGCCCTGCGCTGCCAGTCTCCTACCTGCAGGCCGAGCTGGCCTTCGAGGGCGAGGCCGCCTGCCGGGCCTTCCTAGAGCCCCTGGGCCTGGCCTACACGGGCCCGGACAACTCCAGCATCGACTGTCGCCTCAGCCTGGCGCAGCTGCCAGCCTTCTGAGCACCCAGCGAGGATGGGGCGGGGGCAGGGGCTGGGGCCCCCAGTGCCACCTTTGCGGATTTTGTTTTTGAGCCATGGACTTGGGTTGTAAATTAATTTGTGGGGAGTGGGCTCCAGGAAGAGCCGCCATCCCTGCCCCCGTTTCCCACCGGGGAGTCTGTACAGAGATTTTTCTACATTTTTATTTTTTGCCTCAGAGGGACGGGTTGGGGAGGGGGGGGCCATGGAGGTTGGGGACATGGTCTGCAGGCTTGTCTGTCCCCTTTTCACCTCCACTAATGCTGTCTCAGTGTTTTTTCTCTCTCTCTTTCGAGCTTCTACTCCGGTACCCGACCCGGCGCGCTGGCCCATCCCATGCCGGGGGGCCAGTGGAAAGAAGACAGGCCGTCCAGCCCGCGCCCGCCTGCAGTGGGGTCACCAGCATACCAGCCCACGCCCGCTGCCTCGTCTGCCTCTTCACAGACTCTTGTTGCCCAGCCCTCTGGGGCCTCAGTGTTTTGGGGTGAGGGGAGCTGCTTAGAGACTATGCCCCGCCCTTGGCCCCTCACCCCAGAAATGCCAACGCCATCATCTCCTTCACCACCACCACCAGACCAGCGCCACCACACCGCACTGAGGACTCCGGAGGCCATCGCGGGACCTGCCGGCCGGGCCGCCTCGTCTCAAGTTGTATTAAGTTGTCTCCGTGTCCCCTCCTTCCTCGCCCCCAATGTTTCTTCTGATTTTTTTTTCCCTTTCCCTCCCCTCCTGCTCCCAGTCCTCCCTGGCTCAGCACAGGTAAACGGTCACCCTCCCTCCCTCCCGCCTTCATGGATCACCAGCTCACGTCATGTTCCCTTCTCTTTCCTTTGTGTGTGTGTTGATTTCAGTTACTTTTTCTTCTTCCTCCCCTTTTCTTTTCGGTCCTCCCTTCCTCTTCTGCCATGTAACTGGAGGATGTGCTATGAGTTTGCAAACAGCTGGACTGTCAGGCTGCTTTTTTTCCAGATGTCCCTCCTCTGCCTCCCTCCCCTCCTTCCCTTCCCCTCCCCTCCTTCATTCTTTCCTTGGAGCACTGAGCACCATTTGGAAGCTTGAGAGATACCAAAATTAAACAGAGAGAGAGCACTCCCCACAAGCACTGTCCTTTCTGCCTGGCCTGTGTCCCCCTTCACTGTGTGGCCCCAGGGGTATGTCAGCTAGGGACTGGTAGGTGCTACCTGCCTTCCCCATGCGGCACAGCCAGACTCGCCCCAGGGGCTGGCTCTGCAGCTCTTGGTCCAGGCTGAACCTGGGCTCTGGGAGGTGGACTTGGGAGCCATGGGGCACCTTGGCCAGGGTGAGGTGGGGATGTAATCCCCCCCGGGGCCACAGCACTCTCAGCCCCTCTGCCTCCAGCCTCTGGCTGAGCACGTGGGCCATGCCTTCCAGTGTGGGGGACGGTGGGGCACAAAGTACATGGTGGCTCAGGAGCACTAAGTCTTTAAACCGAAGCTGCCGGGGTGCTTGAAGCCCTGGGGCCAAGAGGGCCCGTCTCAGAGCCCCGACTGCGGCTGCCTCCTCCCCTGGGCCTGCCAGCCGCAGAAGGGCCAGTGTCAGGTGCAGGGCATGTGTGGGCACCAGGAAGGCAGCACAGGACGGGTCGACTTGGACCAGGCGCTCCTGGGCTTTGGCTACTTCTGCCTGCAGCCCCAGATCGCTCATCATGAGGGCCACGAAATGTGTAGGGCGGGGTTGGCGAGGGGCCACAGCTCTAGCTGGCCAGTCCCTTTCACCGTCCTCTGGCCAGTCCTCTACACCCCACTCCATATCCATCTCCCCAACAGACATTCCTGGGGCTGCCGGCGACTGCACCTCCCTGCTTGGTAGCATTGTGGCTCCGGGGGGCGCTATTGCCTTCAACGCCCCTATTGCCCTCTCTGTTTCTGCGAGATGCCTCCTCGGGACTGATGGTCCCGCGTCGGTGGTCCCGCTCGGCCGCGGCTCCGTGGCTGTCTCGCACTCTCTTCCGGGTTCCTCCAGGTCGGATTCCCGGAGCTCCGTCCAGTCCGGGTTTCTGCTCGCTCCCTCGGGAGCAGCCTGGCTCTCCCGCCCCGCTGGGGCCTCGCAGGTTCTCTCGTGGTCCGGGGTCTCCTGTGCGTCCTCGCCATCAAGTGCGTCCAGGATGGTGGGGCCCCGGCCGGCCGCTGATCCCGAGCCGAAGACGAGGTCGGTGCGCGAGGCGCGGTCCCACACCAGGCGGCCGCGGAAGCGGAAGTAGCGCACGCGGTGCTGCGGCACGGCCAGCACGCCCGGCCCCAGCGCCGCCAGCGGCTCGTCCCAGCAGAAGGCGCTGAAGGGCTCCTCGCGCACACCCAGGAAGCGGTCGACGTAGCCCACCGAGAAGTCGGCGGGGTCGAGGCGCGGGTCCCAGCGGATGCGCTGGATGACTGCCGCGGCAGTGCGCAGCGGCGGCTTCTTGGTCCCCGTCTCCGGCTGTGCCCCGCGGCCAGGCGGCGCCTGGGCGCCGGGGTGCGGCTGGCGGCAGCGGGCGCCGAAGCGACAGCGGCCCTCCAGAAAGAAGCGGCAAGCTGGCGGGGATGCGGGGTCCTCGCTGGCGCCCTCCGGCAGCAGTCCTGGCTGCCCGGCCATCACCGTGGGTGCTGAGGTCTCAAGGGATCCCTGCTGGCACGGCGCCGCGCTGGAGTTTGGCTCTAGCCGCTGGCGACCGCACCACACCCGGTACCTTAGCCCCCGTTGTCCCGGGCACCTAGTCCTTCTGATTTACAGAGCTCCGCCCCCAGTTGGTTGATCAGCATGTCCCCGCCCCCTGGGAGGTTTTGGAGGGACTGCCCCCCCCCCCCAGGGTGATTTACACTTGCCTCCCGTCTGGGGTTCCGTAAGCCTCGCGGCCCCGCCCCTAGGCCAGCGGTGGACACCCCTACTCCGACCCCCTGTGCCTCAGAGCCGGCCGGAGGGAGCCTGGCCCCACCCGCAGTTCAGCATTCGCAGGTGCAGTCTTGCGCCTCTGGGAACTCAAAGGTCCCCAGACGCCTACAGGCTCAGGCTGAACTTTGTGCCCAGACTTGGGCGACCCATCATTTGAGGACTTGGCCCTCTGCACCGGAACCACGCCCCTTGAGGCTCCAAAGGGGTTCCCAGTTGTTTCCCTCTGCGACCACTCCCAGAATAAATGGTGGCCCCACCCTGTCGGGGCCACCCGAGACGCTCGGGGCAAGGCCGCAGTGGCTGCCAGGCCTCGGTATTCTGCAGCCTCGCCGGGGCTGCGTCTGAGGCCCGGCACCTAGACCCGGGGGCAGTGTTTCTCGGTCAACAGTTGATGAATGAAAGAGGCAGTAGGAGCGGCCGGTTCGCGCCCGGCTCCCTAAGGCCAGGAACGGCCTGGCCACGCCTCGGGGGCCCTTAAAGGAGCCGCATCTCACCATTACTTGCCAATCATCGACCTAGTCTGGATGACAAGCACAACTCTCAAGTACTGGGGCCCCACAGTCTTTTCTTCTCCTCTCCCCTTACCCGCCAAAGTGAACAGACAGAGCCCGGGCGCAAACCTTAGCCGTTTTATGTGCGCAGAAGTGGGGTGCCGGTAGGGAGGGCGCGGGGAACCTGACGCCTACAGACCAATGACATCGTCCAGCTCGAGGTCGGCGTTGGGGCGGCAGCGGGCCCTGGGGTGCTGCGCCTCGAGACGCGCGTCCACGTCGGGCTTGACGGCCGCGGCGCGCTCCGCGTCCATGACTCCCAGCACGGCGTCCAGCATGGAGGGGCCCAGGTCCAGGTGGAAGGACAGCAGCGGGTCGGCGGGAGCCGATGGGCGGGGGGCGGGCGCTGCGGGCTGCGGCACTGCGGCCGGCGTCGCGTTACGTGGGCTCCCCGCGGGCGGAGCGCAGGGTTCGGAGGGTGGTCCGCCGCCGTGGCGGCTCAGGAAGGAGGTGTCCCCGAAGGCGTCGCCGCCACGCCCCACGTGCAGTGTGTGCCGGAAGTCGCCGAGCGGCGCCGAGATGGACAGCGCGCCGCGCTCGGTCCTCTTCTTGGGCTGTGCGGGGCCCAGCTGCTTCAGCACCGGCATCTGTGGGGTCACAGGCGGTCAGCGCCGCATCTCTGGGAGCCCTGCCCAGCCCTGCCCCGCAGCCGTGCGGTCCTCGCGAAGGATGCTCTTCGCTAGGACAGGGTGGTGGTGGGGTGATTATTCAGATTTTACAGGTGGGGAAACTGAGGCTCTGAGAGGTCCAAGGTCAGAGATACCTGGACTCAAATCTCAGATTCAGATTTAGGCCTGCCTTACTCCAAAATGCGCAAGGCGCTCTGCTGATTGTCCTGAGAACTGATATTAGAACTTTCCTGTAGGTCAGGCAGAAAGAAGCTCCTCCACATTCCCTGCACAATGCTTCCCAACCTGACAGGTAGAAACTCCAGCTAGATGAGTCTGGAGATTCCCCAGGACCCATCCTTGCAGACAGGCCCTACTTTGTCCACTAGGGAAGGCAGGTTTAGTGTACACACACACACACACACACACACACACACACACACGCGACACACGAAGAGGCACAAAAGCCATAGCAAGTTCTAATTGGGGAGATTTGGGGGCTGGGGGATGCTAATATTTGCACAGCGTTTTGTAATTTAAATGATGTGGTTTGAGAGACCATGACCTAACAATACAATCCTCATACTTTGTAAGAAACTAATAATGCAAACCCCTCTTGGGTTAAAAATGGCAGCACGACACATATTTGAAGCCAGCTGCTTGAGAACTGTAGACTAGGTGCACCCTTGCTCTTTGGGATTGGACAGCAAACGGAAGTGCAGCCAGCCTCCGCCATGTCCTGGAACTGGGCAGTTTTTTATGGAACTCCTGGGAAGGACTTTGTTTTCACAGTCACAGTTATTATGATGAAAAGCCTTTGTTGTTGTTTCAATCGAAGCCCTGCCCTTTGCCAACTATATGAATTGAGATCTATTAATCTTTCTGTTTTCCTATCTATAAAGTGGATGAAATAATACTGCTTTCCTTACAGAGCACATAGCAAAGCTCCATTAAATAAAACAATATTTATAATTGTGCCAGCTGTAACTGGGTGCAGCAATGACAGAGGCTGAGGCAGAGGACCCCAAGTTTAAGGCCAGCCTTAGCAACTTAGTCAGACCCTCACCTCAAAATAAATAAATAAAAATGAGAGCTCAGCAGTAGTGCATCCACTGGTTCAATCTCCAGTACTGGGGGGGGGGGGGGGAGATGTTAGCCAGTTGGCAGAGCTAGTAGGCTAGTATTGGGGGAAAATGTTTCCCCAAACAATTGTGAAACAGAGTGTAGAACAAAGATAAGACTTGGTAAAACAGAATGACCAAACAATGCAGCCAACATTGTTTTTAGTGACCAGGATTCTGGGGTATATCAGCAATAGTGTGGAAAAAAGTACAGCAGAAAGAACTTAAAATAGTTTAGATGGATGTATTCTAAGTACTGCCCTACACACACACACACACACACACACGCACACACACACACTTTGCATTTTTTTCCCTCTGGGGAAACCTGTCTTGATTTGCCATCTCCCCAGTATTTATCACATTTCTCCAACCTTAACCTACATGAATAAATACACCTTTATTGTAACCCAGCACGCAACCACTCTTCCCTCCTCCCCTATAAAAGAAACAAAATCTTTATGAAATAAGGCAGTCCTTACATCATGGTAACTACTCTGATCCATTCTCTTTTAACATTTTATTTTTAAATGATCAACTCATTAAAGGATCTCCGTCCATAATTTAAAGGTCCTCTCTAGGTGCCAAGCAGTGCCCTTTATCTCAGCACTTGGCTCTGCATGAGTTGGGGGTGAAAGGTGGATCAGGAAGCCAGCCACCCAGGGTAGGCTGTGGCTGTGCCCAGGGCTGTGAAGCCCTGGGTAAACTGCTTAGCCTTTCCCACATCATTTCCTCATCTGGGAAATGGAATGATACGAATATAATACTTCAGAGTCTTTTGGCAAGGATTGGTGAGATGCTGCCAATCCCAATCTGAGCGTAGTAGCAGCACTCAGTGAAATGTTTAAGAAAGGCTGAAGGGAGTCCACCTCGGGTCATTCCCCCAGGTCCCAGAGAAGGAAACCAGCCAGAAGAGGACCCCTGACTTGCCTAAGCTCACAAAGCCAGCTCTGTGGGACTCCAGAGTCCTGCTAGGGCTCCTTCCACCGCCTGCTCCTCTTGAACTCACCACTCCCCTGCAGCTCCCTCTGCCCCCTTTTCAGGGCGCCCGTTGTCCTAGTGCCACACGGGGGCAAGGTAGCTGCCTTCCAGCACCGGGTAGCGCTTTAAGATGGTGGTTTCTGACATCATGCATGCTTGGCTCAGATTGTCATTTCCTTTTGGTGGCATCCTGAACAAGTTCCTCAGCCTAGCCCTGGGTTTACCCTCTGAAAACCAGGCACATCATGAAGCACACTGGCCACACTTGCCTTTTATTTCCAAGGCACTTATTCTAGATCAAGCACTGGTCTAAGTGTTTCACAGGATGAACTAATTCATTTAATCCTCAAAACAACCAACTAGGGGGAGACTGAGATTCTAATGTCCATTTTACAGAAGTGTGATGGCTGCAATACAGAGAGGCTGGGTATCTTGCCCTAGGTCACACAGGACTAAATGTTGCAGGGCAGATTTGGCGCCCAGGCAGATGAACTCCCGAGTCTAAGGATGATATCATATGCTTATAGCCACGGGGTTGTGCAATTGCCCGGGTTCAATCTGATACAAACGCCAAGCCCTTGCACCGTTAGATGTCTGTGGTTTTCTTTTCTCTTTTTCATTTTAGATGAGGAAAGAGTTTTCCAATGCCACCTATTCTCCTAGCTAGCCCCGGAGACCCTGGGCAAGTCACTCCCTCCTCCCCGCCTGGGTGTCCTCTAGATCAAGGGCTCTAATCGCCCCCTAGCAGGGTTGTAGGGCTTCGGACGATGAGGTCATGCTTGGAAAAAGTTCGTCACTGGCCACATCTCGTACACAGGGGCTGTTGTTTGGGACACACCAAACAGGCCCAGAGCAGGCCGCCCAGGCTGCAGGCCCTCCACCGGCCGCCCCCCCTTTCCTGCCCCCCGCAGGGCCCGACCCAGCTGCAGGGGTGGAGGGCACCGCCGGCTCACCTCTGCCCAACAGGGCGGAAACCACCGGCTCCGGATCCCGCCGGACTGGTTCTCAGAGCCGAGGGAGAGGCGGGAACAGGGGTGCGGCCGCTGGGGGACGGATTTCTGCGGGCCTCCCGGGCCTCCGAGGCCACGTGGCTGCTGCCGGGACTTCAGCCACAGCAGCCTCTGGCGGGCTGACCCTCTCCCCTCTCGTCGGGACCCGGGACCCCTGCCCACCATCGTCCCTTACCTCGTGGTTCTTTCTGAGCGGGGCAGGCGACAGCGGGGCTCGGGCTGGGACCCTCCCTGTATCAGAGTCCGCCTCCGCCTCGCCTCCTAGTCCCCCGCCCGCGCCTTCTTCCTTCGGGCGGGATTTCACCTGGTGGAGGAAGTGTCACACTGAACCTGGAGAGGACTCAGGACCTCGGTGTCGGGTCCCACCTCCTAAGCCCCCCACCCCCGCCCCCGCAGTCCCAGGTCCAGGAGACCCAGCCCCTAGCTTTCTTATTTCTCCTGTAGGGGAGGGGGGCACTCCTCCCTCGGACCCAGGGTCCAGACCCAGACCCCTCCCTCAGACCCGGGGTCCAGACCCAGCCTCCTCCCTCGGACCCAGGGTCCAGGCCCAGCCCCCTCCCTCAGACCCAGGGTCCAGGCCCAGCCTCCTCCCTCAGACCCAGGGTCCAGACCCAGACCCCCTCCCTGGACCCAGGGTCCAGGCCCAGCCTCCTCCCTCAGACCCAGGGGTCCAGGCCCAGCCTCCTCCCTCAGACCCAGGGGTCCAGGCCCAGCCTCCTCCCTCAGACCCAGGGTCCAGCCCCAGCCTCCTCCCTCAGACCCGGGGTCCAGGCCCAGACTCCTCCCTCAGACCCGGGGTCCAGGCCCAGCCTCCTCCCTCGGACACAGGGGTCCAGGCCCAGCCTCCTCCCCCGGACCCAGGGGTCCAGGCCCAGCCTCCTCCCTCAGACCCAGGGGTCCAGGCCCAGCCTCCTCCCTCAGACCCAGGGGTCCAGGCCCAGCCTCCTCCCCCGGACCCAGGGGTCCAGGCCCAGCCTCCTCCCTCAGACCCAGGGTCCAGGACCAGCCTCCTCCCTCAGACCCAGGGTCCAGGCCCAGCCCCCTCCCTCAGACCCAGGGTCCAGACCCAGCCTCCTCCCTCAGACCCAGGGGTCCAGGCCCAGCCTCCTCCCTCAGACCCAGGGTCCAGACCCAGACCCCCTCCCTGGACCCAGGGTCCAGGCCCAGCCTCCTCCCTCAGACCCAGGGTCCAGTCCCAGCCTCCTCCCTCAGACCCAGG